AAGGAGGAAGAAATATCTGCACACAATACACATAACGACCCAGGGTCGTAACAATTATTATAACTCACACTTTCAAGTTCTGCATTTATATAACTCATCATTTCAAGTTAAGAAGATTGTAATAATACATTTATTTCAACTTAGATCTATTAATTATATTGACTTCTAATTGCAAGTTTACATAAACTAAGAATAATTCTTGTTTGTTCAGATATATAATATTTATTTCAAAAGAATATGTTATACATCAACTTGAACAAGGCATTTGACCTCAGCCATGCCTTCACAACAAGATTATCCATAACCATGTTGGACATTGTTTCAAATCAAAACGTTTAAGTGTTTACACATTGGTTCAATAGTTTCCAAACAGTTTAAGAAAACCGACTGAATATGAAAAAGAGGGTTCATTGTGAAATGGTAACCAGATATAGCTTCTTATTTGGCTACTGTTGAACACAAACACACACAAAACAACAATACACCCCAGTATCCTTATGGTATTTGCTCATTTTTGATCTGTGTCAGAAATCAATGGTAAAAGTGGCAACAGAAAACCTTTTTGCTTCAACATCTCATTCTGTAGAAAATGACATCATCAGCCTTCAGAGTGTTTTCCCATAAGCCCAATACATTTGTGTCTGGGAAATGATGGCTCAATTATGCGTCACAACATTTTTTTACCTTGAGCAAGCTAATAGTCCTCTTCTCATAGGTCTGTCCATATTCCACTATAGTCACAACTTCAGGGTAATTCTTCGCAGCCTGAACCATCCAGTCTGTGATCTGTAGGGTGGAATACACACAACACACATTAGATTCTGTGTGTAGTGGTCTGTCAAAATAAAAAGTGTAAGAGCGAGAATCTGCTTTCTCACCTCTGGCATTGGATGGTATTTGTAGTAGTCATACTCCACCCTGTTGCACATCCAAATACATGAGACACAGAGGAACAAGAAGACATAACATGTGCTAATCAACCATTTCGGAGTCTTCAAAAGTAAGGCTTGTTGCATTCGCCTTCTTTAAGTCAGTATTGGACCCAAGATGTGACTCACCTCTCCACTGTGGCTGCTCCCACCACTGAAAGCAGCACCACAAGGCTCAGACCCACCGAGAAAAGCATTGCCACTTTTTGAACGTAAACTCCTTGTTTGCAACTGTTGCCGACACTGACCAGCCTTTATATAAGACACGCATCAGATAAAGATAAACACCTTTCCCTCGACTGTGGACTACTTCCGCTATCACTGTGTTGGTTAATTGTCACGATCTTGATGTTTTTAGTTTTGTATGTCTTGTTATGGGTGTTGTTTTGTGGTTCTGTTCTCCCTGTCTCTTCCTGTGTTTTTCCTCCTGTGTCTGATTGTCTAATTGTGTTCACCTGTTGCCCTTGTGTTTCTACCTCCCCTGCCCAGGTGTTTCTTGTCCCTTGATTACCCCTCTCTGTATTTAGTCTTGTCTTTTCCTGTGTTTTCTCGTCGGTTCATTGTTTGTTTCTCCTGTCTCCCTCCATGTTGGTCACGGTCAGTTTTGTGTGTTTTACCTTGTACAATCTATGTTTTATGGATTCATGCCATGTTTTTGTTTTTCAGCTTTTTAATAAAGCTCGCTTTTGTTTATAGACCTTTACTTTTTTTGTAGTCTGCTTTTGGGTCCTACCTTTTCTGCAATCCGTAACAGTGATCTTAACAGAATGAACCGACCAATTATGGACCCAGCGGATTATGATTTTGATTTGCTCTCCCTGGATTACTCCCTTCGATGTCTTTATGCTGAGTGGAGTAGAACCTCGGCTAAAAGGGACAAAGAGGCTGTCCTCAAAAAGGCACAAAGGGAGGTGGACAACGTGCCATGGTTGAGAAGCTCGTTGCCTGAATTGCTCAGAGTTTTCTCACGTAGCCCGGAGTGCCAGTCTCCATTTTCTGACCCTCTTTTGGGATCCCGCCTGGCGTTTGGAGGTCCACGGAGCCTCTAAAAGACACCTAAAAAAAACGCAAGGTCAGGAAGCCAGCTCGTACTCAGGTACCGACCCCAGCAGCCATGGTTCCGGCTCCAGAACCGGTCCACACAGCCATGGATCCGTGCACCAGTACCGGCCCACACAGCCATGCTTCCGTGCTCCATTACCTGGCTCACACAGTCAGGGTCCAGGCTTCTGTTCCGTGCCCAGCAGCCATGGTCCCTGCTCCAGTACCGGCCCACACAGCCGTGGTTCCGGCTCCAGAACCGGCCCCAGCAGCCATGGTTCCGGCTTCAGTACCGGCCCCAGTAGCCATGGTCCCGACTCCAGTTTCGGCTCCAGTACTGGCTCTCTGGCCGACGCCAGCTCCCCGTGTCCTGTCGGTGTACCGGCCGACTCCAGCCCAGCTGCTGTGAAATTCTGTGCAAAGCCCAACAGTCTTTCTGACATAGAAGGCATTGCACTCGATGGAGATTACTTACTTGGACGTAATGAAATTTGAATGAAATATTAAATGTGCTGCCACTATGGCAAGGTCAATGGACAATGGGCCGCTGGGCACAGACATGCTAAAGGCCCCATTATTTCTCTGACAGAAGAGACAAGACTCTCAGTTTTAATAGCCTATTTTTGTTGTTGTATTGTTGCATCACATATCTATGAGATTTTACGTTATTTTCTTTGTTTACTTCGCCTTTTTTAGTCAGTTTGCGGTCGTTTTCTTCATCTCTTTGTAGTCATTTTGAGTCTCTTTCTGGTTGGTACATGTCTATTCGAGTGACCTTTTGTAGGTAAACGCCAGGAGGGTCCCTAACTTCAGGGCCCCTGCCTGTTCAGTAATCCATTCATGGTTGACAGACGTGGTAGTTTTTAGAACAGTTTCATCTGACCAGTAGATGTCAGTACAACGCTGACTTGAGATCAAAGATAATCAGAGTAAAATATGTGTAGAGGAAGAGTGCTTGCAAAGATCTTTGCACTCATTAAAATATAAAAACAAAATACTGCAATATCGTCTGTCAGAGGGATTCAATATTCAGAAGTGAATCTGGTCAAAAATACTTTGTGTCACCTGCTTAACTTGAATATTCCTTAAAAAAAAGCCAGACTTTTAAGATCTTAAAGTTGAATCCCTTTGAGATTAGTTAGTGTAGGAGAGCAGCTTTCTCCTTATTCAGCTTTCTTAGTCTGGCTGCTGGTTATACCATGAATTTAAAACACTTGCAACTCTTTGTTCCCACTTCTTTGCTGACATGCTCATTTTGTCTGTTCACAAGCTGCTCATAAGACACAGAGACAAGACCTGTCTCAGTTTCGGAGCTGTGTGCACAAACCCAGTGTGTGTCCCAGACAGAATCAAAGCTCACATCATGGGCTGTTTCTTCGTAATGAAGGATGAAAGCACTAATGCTTTTAGACGAGGAAGGCAGGTCGCTCTGTTGCACTCAGACACACGCTTAAAATGTGTCTGTGTGTGCACGCAAAACCTCGCTCATAGCATCTTAAAGTTTGGATTGGGGAACACGCACCGCCGAGATAACATATTTTTCCAGGGCTTTACGGCTGAATTCAGACATTATTTGCTACGTTTTATGATCACTTCCACAGTTGATTTCTGTTTTATTTTACAGGGTGTAGTTAATTGAGTGCTTGGGGTGAGGAAAAGCTGTCAACATCTGGACGGACTGGAAAGCAGAGGGTATAGCACACTTTTGGGGCATGCATTTCTCAGGGTCCTTAGGGTTATTATGGGTCGGGTTTAAGTTAAGTTTCTGTTGCTGATGACAAATATTGACCTGCTGTTCAAAGGCCTTAAGGGTTCTAAGATTGACCCCTGTGGAACACCACACGAGACCAATACTAATTTGATAAGGTACCATTGATACAAGGTTATTTTACCCATTAGTTTCAAATGTATGACAAATTGTATGTTTACTGAAAATTGGTAATTTACAAGTGACAATTACAGAGTATAAATACTTGTTCCAAAATGATGTAGTTGTAGAATCAGTTAGAGTCAGCCATTTGACTGTCTTTCAGGTGACATCATAAGGCAACGTGCATTCACCATGGACATGTCCACTCATTTGAAAGTGTATGTATGTTATTATTGTGAAAAAGTGGTTAAAACTAGGGATGCCAGCGATTATTCGATTAATCGTTACAGTCTCCATAATCGAATATTATTTTTAAAAATCGATTTTATTTATATATTTTTTTATTATTATTTACGTTTTATTTATTTTTTTCTGGCTTAGTTTCAACCAAAATATAGACTAATGCTAATAATAGTAATAGTATTAACAATTGTAAATGGCCATTGGTCACACCACCAGTTTGTTTTACTGTAAACTTGGAGGAAGCCTGCGTGCAGAGCAGACAGCTGCTGCAGCACGCTACACACCGCCCCCGCCCCCACCCTCCCTCACACGTGCGACTAAAGATGAACAAAGCGGCAGGTAAAAAGAGTTCCTCCTCGTGGAACTACTTCGAACTTATAAGTACAAAGGAAGTGAAATGCAAGCTCTGCGAAAAGACGTTGGTCTATCATAGCTCAACCTCAGCAATGCGTTCGCATTTGACAGCCTACAGCCTGTATTAATAATAGCATTGCAATAAATAAATTGCTATAATAATGTTTATTGCAATGCTGCTATCATTAACACAAGCCGTAGCCTGTATTTAATAATGGCAGCATTGCAACAAATACATTGTGCGCGCATAGCGCATCTCCAAATAAAGGCAATGGCAGGCACTTTAGAAAATAACAAAAAATAAACCAACATCATGTTGATGTTGGTTTATTTGTCGCTTATTTTGTTTGTACTGTTAAACATGTTCCAGTAAAGAAAACAACGGAATTCCTTTTGTCTGAGTTATTTTTTTTTTATTTTTTTTTTTTTTTAATATTTTTTTTTTTGGTTTGTCCCGCGGGGGGGGGTCGATTAATCGATTATTATTCGCCAGGGCTGCCGAATAATCGATTTTGATCATGGTCAGTTTCTGGCAACCCTAGTTAAAACAATATAGACACACGTTTCAAATATTTAATTATTTTGTATTTCTCTTTGGCGCCAGATGTTATTTGTATGTCGTCATATTCAATGAAATAAAAAAAGATTTGTGGATATACTAATGTGTCAGGCAATAAGATTTGTATGGAATTCTATGATAATTATAGATTTATTTATAATACATTGAATCAAAGGTGCATTGGTATTTACGATGCATTGACATACTTTTGATCATAATTAATCTACAAAAATGAGGATAAAAAACATTTTGTCTTAAAAACTGGAGCTCTCCTTGAAACTAACCTAACATACGCAAGATAAATGCAACTTAAAGCAAAACAGCAGGAGTTATTTCCCCTCCCCCCCTCACATCAGGGTGGTGCCGGTGACACCCAAGGCTAACAGCATGCTCCACAGGGTTGCAGCGGTTGCAGTGGCCCCACTAAAGGTCTTGTCGTGGGCGTAGGTGATGATGTGCAGGGCTCCGCTGTAGGCCTCCTCGCAGGTCGGCTGGATCTGATCCTGGGGAAGCTCAAAGCCAAACGTCCCGTTATCTCTCAGCTCAAAGGTGTAGGTTAAGGGGATCCCCTGCATCCGGGCCCAGTCTCTGGAGGAACCAGAGTTGGCGTCTGTAGAAAGAGGGTACACTGCTGTTTTTCTGCTAGCACGGCAACAAAGTCAAATACATCTGTGACCAGCTGCGATGTGTGGACTTACACAACACATCCGGTGAGGTTCCTACGGTGTAGTGCTTCCCGTGCACGCTCCGAATGGCATCCGCTGCACCCCTACCTACCTTCATCTGAAGAAACACATTAGCTTTTATTATACAGTCATTTAAAGTATCTGTATTAGCTCTGTGTGCTTTACCTTTTCTTCAGTTTAAGAAAGAAAACTGAAATGAGTTGTCTCAAAATGACCCATAATGACTGCAAAGACATGCAAAACAACAAAAAATGAGCACTAAGAAAGGTTAAACATCTCAAAATACATGCAAAACGACTAAAAGGATATGTAAAATAAAAAAAAGCCTAACAATTACTTGAAGTTGCAAAAATGACAAAGGATCTTCCCAAAATGACCACTAGGAGGTGCAAACACATAACTAATCGCACAAAACAACCACAAAATGACCACATCTCAAGCACCAAAAAATAGACTCAAAACGACCCTTACATTTGTGTGTCTTGTTCCTATGTAGACAGGGTGGGTAACCTCTCACATGTCTGCGCCCAGGAGCCCATTATCTCACAGTCCCTTCATGTGCATCAGTCTTAATGACAAGAATCAACGCTCCTTCCTCATGTCTGGGTGCTGGGGTGTTAGCGTCTTTCCAAATGAACAGGAAACAGGGCTCAGCTGTCTCCGAACTGTGTGTTCATGCTTGTGAAGCTATCTTTAACAACCACTGTGGTGGGGAAGGGTGAAACACCTTTGCACCCAGACAGTGAAATACTGTAAGTGTGACAATGATATGGGGAGTGGAAAAGTGATCCAGCAGAATACCATCTGTATGTGTCTTCTTTTAATTCAATTTTATCTGGAGGTTCACTTGCGCAAAAATAATCTCGTGAAACATTTTAGCCCCATTTAAACAAAAAAATATCCAGGCAACATTTTTAATTAGTTCCTAAACTAGAAACACAGGAGAAAACAGATTTATTGTCTCAATTGCCTCTCGGGCTTCTGTACCAATCCATATCTACAATTTTAGAGTCTCTATGTTCATAAACAAGTTCCGCTTCAGGGTTATAAACATGAGATTAATAATTGAAAACCTTGTCACATTATCCCTGACATGCGGATATAAGAGATTTTGAATCCTGACTAGCATGCTAAAATAAATGCTGCCGTTTGTTTCCTTCCGCCAGAGACGAAAGGACATAATCCTGTTTTGCATAATTCGGTCTGAATTGTGGCCACAGTAGGTTTTTGTTACCTGGATCCACCTCCCATCTATAAGCAAGCAGCCATTTGTTCTCCATTATCAATAGAGCTGTAACAGATTGCCTCTTTTCCTGTGTATTTGTGACATGCATGAGCCCAGTTTCTATGGCAATATGCCTTATTCTCTTGATTAATGTAGTGATAATCAGCCACAAAATATGCACATACACTTTTCTTAAATCCTGAATTGTTATGTGATGTTATGTTGAGTATATATTGTGTATGCTCATAATCAGCCATGTGTAAATCATGCATCATTGTGTGTGTCGATGTAAATACCAGCTCATCGTAGTTGCTGGCGATGAAGTTGGGGTGTCCGAATGGAACCAGGAGCAGCTGGCCGTAGGAGTGGATGGTGAGGAAACACAGGAAGTCTTCTCTCCGGTTTCCTACGAAATAAGTGACGGCCTGGGCCTCGGGCTCGGACACAGGTTTGATCCCGCAGAAGGTGTTGTCGCAGCAGTCGAAGGAAACCCCGAGCGCTGTGGAGGCAGCCAAAGAAATTGAATTATCTAGTGGTGAGCACGTTTTATATTTAACGGTTCAGTGTGTAAGATTTAGTAGCTTTTGATAGGAAAAGTATTTGTTGTGATACGTCAAAAGAAATACCCTTTCCATGGCAACATAATTGAAAATGCAGATTCGTATGTCGTAGGCTAAACTTGGGCTTTGGATTTTGAAAGATTATTAAGGGTATTCACTTATGACAAGCAGTGCATCAGTTGCATTGTGGTAATTGTAGGATGCCAGCATTGTGGCGCTCTACAACGCTCTTTAATACCCCTCTAAAACAAATTGTTCAGTGATTAGACATCTTCAGTAACATCTATGTGTGATACCCACTTACCCATGATTATCAGAGCAATACATAGAGCATAATGGCTGTCTAAATGAGCAGGTGGGGAAGCAAAACAACACTCACTGCCCCAGTTGGCGTTAAAGTTGCGGTTGAGGTCTGTGCCGTAACAGGTGCAGTTTAAAGGTCCCGGTGACCTGTTCTTCCTCCACAGTCGAGTCTACGGGTCAAAAAGGGTTCACTCGGTTACATCGGTTGGTTCCGGAGGTTCTATTAAGAAATGAACAGGGCACTTGTACATATTTCCATACTGCCTGGGATTGCTGTTTGATATCATTTTCCATTCATCTTATATGGAAAACGAGATGATTTGGTACTCGTGTTGAGCACCATGAATCAATTTATTCACTGATTGAATTGTAGCTCACTGTAACTTAACTGCCTCTGCTTTAATAGGACTATCATTCTCTCATATCCTGCTCTTCTGTGGCTCGAGAGCTTGAGGCTTAACCCAGAAAGGTAATTTGATAAAAATCCATCAAACTCAAGCACTGACTGTGTTGTCCTTCCAGGAGTGGATGTATCCGTCTATGTTGAGCACGGGGGTGACAAAGAAGTCCATATTTGTCATCATCACTTGCATCTTTGGGTCTGTTTTGTATGCTTGAAGGATCTGATTTGTGAAAAACACAAGTGCCAGATTAATATATTGGAAGATATGTCGAACAAAATCATTTTCACTTAAAGGAAAATTATGTTTTTTTTTAAATTACCTCTCTGACAAAGTACTGACAGAAGGCCGGGGCGATCCATTCTCTGGCGTGTATACCACAGTCCATCCAGATAGCTTTCTTTTTCTCCCCCGTATTAACGCCGATCTGGAACACAAATTCATATCACTGTAAAACATTTCATGTCAGTTCAACTTGCAAATGAAAGTTCTCCTGCTGCCTTGAAAAAGCAAATCAGGTCAACTTGAAGACAATCTTTGTTTCAACTCATTAATGCAAGTAAATACCGTTGACATGACTTAAAGATTCTAGTTGTGTTAACATTGTTTTTTAAGTTGTCTAAGTTGATTTAACTTTACACTCAGAGTTGAAACAGATACCAATCTTACATTATCAGTGCAAATAAAACCTTATTTACCTAGTCAAATAAACTCACATTTCAGTATTATTATAACTCACACTTTCAAGTTCTGCATTTATATAACTCATCATTTCAAGTTAAGAAGATTGTAATAATACATTTATTTCAACTTAGATCTATTAGTTATATTGACTTCTAATTGCAAGTTTACATAAATAAAGAATAATTCTTGCAGCGCATTTGTTCAGATATATAATATTTATTTCAAAAGAATATGTTATACATCAACTTGAACAAGGCATTTGACCTCAGCCATGCCTTCACAACAAGATTATCCATAACATGTTGGACATTGTTTCAAATCAAAACGTTTAAGTGTTTACACATTGGTTCAATAGTTTCCAAACAGTTTTAGAAAACCGACTGAATATGAAAAAGAGGGTTCATTGTGAAATGGTAACCAGATATAGCTTCTTATTTGGCTACTGTTGAACACAAACACACACAAAACAACAATACACCCCAGTATCCTTATGGTATTTGCTCATTTTTGATCTGTGTCAGAAATCAATGGTAAAAGTGGCAACAGAAAACCTTTTTGCTTCAACATCTCATTCTGTAGAAAATGACATCATCAGCCTTCAGAGTGTTTTCCCATAAGCCCAATACATTTGTGTCTGGGAAATGATGGCTCAATTATGCGTCACAACATTTTTTTACCTTGAGCAAGCTAATAGTCCTCTTCTCATAGGTTTGTCCATATTCCATTATAGTCACAATTTCAGGGTAATTCTTCGCAGCCTGAACCATCCAGTCTGTGATCTGTAGGGTGGAATACACACAACACACATTAGATTCTGTGTGTAGTGGTCTGTCAAAATAAAAAGTGTAAGAGCGAGAATCTGCTTTCTCACCTCTGGCATTGGATGGTATTTGTAGTAGTCATACTCCACCCTGTTGCACATCCAAATACATGAGACACAGAGGAACAAGAAGACATAACATGTGCTAATCAACCATTTCGGAGTCTTCAAAAGTAAGGCTTGTTGCATTCGCCTTCTTTAAGTCAGTATTGGACCCAAGATGTGACTCACCTCTCCACTGTGGCTGCTCCCACCACTGAAAGCAGCACCACAAGGCTCAGACCCACCGAGAAAAGCATTGCCACTTTTTGAAAGTAAACTCCTTGTTTGCAACTGTTGCCGACACTGACCAGCCTTTATATAAGACACGCATCAGATAAAGATACACCTTTGCCTCGACTGTGGACTACTTCCGCTATCACTGTGTTGGTTAATGATTCATCTTAAGAGCTGCAGCTGATTCAGAACATGAAGGGGGCGTTTATTAATCTTAGTAGTTGTGGTTAGTCATTGTTTGGTATTGATCATGGTCAGATGGTTTACAAGTTGTTAAAAACACATGCAAATACTGATCCCACTTTTAGTAACAACTTTCTTTCTCTTGGCGGGATTATCTGTTCCAGTATGACCTTTTGTTTTCTCAACTGCTCCCTTTTCATCGCATCCCCTCCAGCTTTCCTCAGCGTGTTGGGATTTCTCATTTGTTATATTTGGCTGTAGCAGTGTATCAGTTTTCTGGTTCTTTTATCCCGGGTTTTTAAATATTTTTTTTCTATCTAGAGTTTTGGGCAATGTTAGAATCCATTCCTTAGAAGACTCACCCAGAACCACAGTCTGGTACAGTCTTTTATTATTTAAAATGCCACCTGCACCCTTGTCTTATAGTAATAATACCATCATGTTCAGGCACACAGGAGAATATGTCTGACAATATGAATATAAGAGGGAGAAGATAAGATAAGGCACATTTTGTAAAGAAGGCGTGAACGGAAAAAACAATGAGGCTTTATTAAGGAAAGAGAGCAAAGGTCCACACAGATCGTGATAAATGCAGGTGCAACACATGTTCCTCTGTTTAAATAATAAATGACTTCTTCCTTCTGTCTGTCTGTACCTGCGTACTCTCATGTTCCGAATAACCCAGCTTCCCCCAGATTTCTTGTTTCTGTCTATATCTACGCCGGGATCCTGAGTCGTGGCTGATCTTGTTGCTGTGGTCCTGTATCCTGCATCCTGCATCCTGTGTCCTGGATCCTCTATCCTGAGTCCTGGACTTGGAGTCGTGGCTGAACCAGTCACTGCGGTCCTGCCTGACTCATCATACTGCTTCCCTGATGGCTCCCACAGGACTGTTGACATCCTCGTGGATTCATCTTCTTATTACAGACACATGCATTTCCAAACATCTGGTCTACCTACGCTGTAAAATGTATTATCTCTTCAATTTACACACGGCATCTATTGCACGTCTGTCCGTCCTGGGAGAGGGATCCCTCCTCTGTTGCTCTCCCTGAGGTTTCTCCCATTTTTCCCTTTAAAACTGTGGGATTTCTCTGGAAGTTTTTCCTTGTATGATGTGAGGGTCTAAGGACAGAGGGTGTCGTATTTTCATACTGATATTCTGTACACACTGTGAAGTCCACTGAGACAAATGTAACATTTGTGATATTGGGCTATATAAATAAACATTGATTGATTGGTTGATTGATTGATAAAGGCATGTTGATACACCATCAATAAAAGGCTGTCCTGTTTTATGTGTGGTTAAATAGGGACTTTACATAACGTACGTAACAAACACACACACACACACATATATAAACCCAAACAATGTTCATTTACTGCAATTTTTAGTAGCCGTTTTCTGTTTATCTGTTTATCATTTATGGCCCGATTCCTTATTACCTGAATCATTTATTGTAGCTAGTTCAATTATTATTGGATATCATTTATCATCATTATATAAGACCATGAACTGGACATGGTGTCATTGCGTTATCTTATTTTCCATTCCCAGGCTGGTAAGCTTTCACATATCAGTAAATGTGGCCCACTAATAGGTTATTTGGCATTTAAACGAAACTACATTCAGGTCTTTATAATATACCGGAGGCAGAAAACATGTTTTATTCATCAGTGAGGCGGAAATGTAGCTATGCTCAGGTGGACGGCACGACATTATAGGCTCAATCTAATCAGATTTTTTTTAGAATACCAAGGTATAATGGTATCCTTGCTGTGTCCTTCTGAAGAGTCCTTATTGTGGTCTTTGAATCCTGTGTTTGCTTTATTTCGGTTTGAATTCCCTCCCAAGATCACCTGTGAGGCAGCCTTTATGTCTCGTTCCAATGCTCTTTTAATGGGTTTTCCAGCTGTGGTTGCGATTATTGCTCAAGTACAATTCTTAAGCTGATTGTGGTCTATAGCTGTTACCTGATACCTCCCGAGTAACAATTCTACCCAGGAAACATTGAATAGCCCCCCTTTCCTGTAATGCAGCCAAAATGTTGCAGAAATGGCCTTTCTTTCCCCACTTTTCTTTGTACTTGTGTTTACTTTCCTCCATTGCAGCATTGCCCTTTTTGTTAGTGGCAAGCATTAAGACTTGTGCTGAGGTTGCAACATTCTGGGGTTCTGAGGATGTGATTTATTTGAAAAGAAATCCACTATGAAATTCTGTGCAGAGCCCAAGACATAGAAGGCATTGCACTCAATGGAGATTACTTACTTGGACGTAATGAAATTTGAATGAAATATTAAATGTGCTGCCACTATGGCAAGGTCAATGGACAATGGGCCGCTGGGCACAGACATGCTAAAGGCCCCATTATTTCTCTGACAGAAGAGACAAGACTCTCAGTTTTAATAGCCTATTTTTGTTGTTGTATTGTTGCATCACATATCTATGAGATTTTGCGTTATTTTCTTTGTTTACTTCGCCTTTTTTAGTCAGTTTGCGGTCGTTTTCTTCATCTCTTTGTAGTCATTTTGAGTCTCTTTCTGGTTGGTACATGTCTATTCGAGTGACCTTTTGTAGGTAAACGCCAGGAGGACCCCTAACTTCAGGGCCCCTGCCTGTTCAGTAATCCATTCATGGTTGACAGACGTGGTTTTTAGAACAGTTTCGTGTTTCATCTGACCAGTAGATGTCAGTACAACGCTGACTTGAGATCAAAGATAATCAGAGTAAAATATGTGTAGAGGAAGAGTGCTTGCAAAGATCTTTGCACTCATTAAAATATAAAAACAAAATACTGCAATATCGTCTGTCAGAGGGATTCAATATTCAGAAGCGAATCTGGTCAAAAATACTTTGTGTCACCTGCTTAACTTGAACATTCCTTAAAAAAAAGCCAGACTTTTAAGATCTTAAAGTTGAATCCCTTTGAGATTAGTTAGTGTAGGAGAGCAGCTTTCTCCTTATTCAGCTTTCTTAGTCTGGCTGCTGGTTATACCATGAATTTAAAACACTTGCAACTCTTTGTTCCCACTTCTTTGCTGACATGCGCATTTTGTCTGTTCACAAGCTGCTCATAAGACACAGAGACAAGACCTGTCTCAGTTTCGGAGCTGTGTGCACAAACCCAGTGTGTGTCCCAGACAGAATCAAAGCCCACATCATGGGCTGTTTCTTCGTAATGAAAGATGAAAGCACTGATGCTTTTAGAGGAGGAAGGCCGAAGGCAGGTCTCTCTGTTGCACTCAGACACACGCTTAAAATGTGCCTTTCTGTGTGTACACGCAAAACGTCGCCGAAAGCATCTTAAAGTTTGGATTGGGGAACACGCACTGCTGAGATAAAATATTTGTGCAGGGTTTTACGGCTGAATTTAGACATTATTTGCTACTTTATGCATTTGGGTTCTCTTCTTTCTAGACTTTTACCAAACATTGCATCATCCGACAGCTTTTATACTACATTTTATGATCACTTCCGCGGTTGATTTCGATTTTATTTTACAGGGTGTAGTTAATTGAGTGCTTGGGGTGAAGAAAAGCTGTCAACATCTGACTGGAAAGCAGAGGGTAACTGGCACACTTTTGGGGCATGCATTTCTCATGGTCCATCTTATGGGTCGGGGGTTTAAGTAAAGTTTCTGTTGCTGATGCATTGACATATGAGTGTCAAATCAAACCTTGAATGTGGTTCAGACTCCTGTCTACTTTACTCTGTGTCCCATATTAGTATTTCAAAGCTGTAAACAGTAAGGAAATCATATGGGGAAATAACAATCATAATAAGACAAGAGATTACAGTAGTCAATATAATGCCTGCATGAAGTTGTATACTATTAAATAATCATATAGAAATTAAAATAAATTATTTATTTGCAGGGGAACCTCTGACACCCTTTAAGGAAGAATTTCTTGCAAATAACATTACAAAATTGCAAAACAAAGAATGCACGTAAGATTTAAGATTACATAGGACTATACTATCCCGACAGGATCAAAACTGTTTTTCATTGCTTGGACTCAGATATACTACACATAGTAAACAAGTCTCTTCAATCAGGTGTATTTCCACAGGCCCTGAAAACTGCAATTATTAAACCGCTCCTAAAAAAGCATAACCTAGACGCAACCATAATGAATAACTACAGGCCAATATCAAACCTTCCCTTTTTAAGCAAATTTATTGAAAAAGCTGTTTTTCAACAGTTGAGTAATTTCATGTTTTTGATGTGTTTCATTCGGGCTTTCGACCTAACCACAGCACTGAGACTTCACTTGTTAAGGTCTTAACACTAGAACCGCCAACGGGTAAATTTTACCCGCAGCTGTTTTTTGATTGTATACGTAACTTTTTTTCAATAACATATTAAAGTCTCCCAGTTCGTGACTTTTCCTGAAAGTGTGTTATGTAGCACCCTCTGTTGTTAGCAATTGTCAATAGGAAGTCAGATTGAAAAAATCGGCAAAAAAAATGCCATTTATACCCATATCCGCCAGCGGGTAATATTTACCTCATAGAAAATGCAGCGTAAACATGACGTGCTGCTATAGCAACGCCTTTTGTCTACTGCGGTTCCTTATAGATAGAGAGATAGATTGAGAGAGATAGATAGATAGATAGATAGATAGATAGATAGATAGATAGATAGATAGATAGATAGATAGATAGATAGATAGATAGATAGATAGATAGATAGATAGATAGATAGATAGATAGATAGATAGATAGATAGATAGATAGATAGATAGATAGATAGATAGATAGATAGATAGATAGATAGATAGATAGATAGATAGATAGATAGATAGATAGATATATTGATAGATGGATAGATGGATAGAGAGAGATATAGACAGATAGATAGTTATAGATAGTGTAACATCTTGGAGAATACAAGATCTTGGATGACTGAGCTCACGTTGAGGACGTAATGCATGTGTGCAGGTTACGTGCAAGTTGAATAAAGATGGACACTCGGAATGAGAGAAGTAGTCCGGGTCGTCTGTTTATGTAGACAATTATATGAACATAGAACAGAACATTACGGATAGATCGATAGATAGTTATAGAGAGATAGAGAGAGAGAGAGATAGAGAGAGAGATTTGTACCTAAACAAAACACAAGTCTAACACCAAGTGTTTAAATCAGCACTCTTAGCGATATTTTATACTTCATGCTATCTGCACAAACTATATCATATGAAAAGCTGAGAGTCCACAGATTCTATTGGTATAGGTTTCATCCCTGTGCGATCAAAACTCACTGTTCTGTATGATAAATAAAAGAACATTGTACCTTGCAAATCAATAGCGGGTACATTTTACCCGTTGGCGGTTTTAGGTATACAGCGACCTCTGGCGGTTCTAGTGTTAAATGACATCCATTTGAACACAGACAGTGGCAGAATATCAGTGTTAGTATTATTCGTTCTCAGCGCTGCCTTTGATACTGTTGACCACAACATATTGCTAGACCGTCTAGAAAACTGGGTGGGAGTTTCAGCAACAGCTGGTTTAGTTCCTACTTAAAGTACAGAACAAACTTTTGGGGCGTTCACACCAAGTTCTTTTCCCACAATAGTTCATGAGAACTCTTTTCGTTCTGATGAACTAAAGCAGATCGCGTTCACACCGCAATGAGTCCCTGGGGGTGGATTAGGCAAATGAAGCCGCTGACGTCACTTCTTCTTCTTCTGCTTTGGGTTTACTGGCAGGCCGCAAACAACTTCACGGCGTATACTGCCAACCGAAGTCCCCGGCCGGAAGTCCCCGGAGTAAATTCGCCAGAACGCCGACACCTCCTCATCTCCACCGCTCCCATGTTTTATTTTGTGTTGCCATAAGTTTCTGCGCTGGGCTAATGCTAATGCTAATAATGCTAATGCGAGGATAATTAAATGGCGGCTTCACAAAACTTTTTGGGATTTTTACGGGGCGTGGTTTGCATTCCGCCCAGCCAATCAGACATAGGAACCTTTTTCTCCCACGAAAGTCCCTGCTCTCTAGCAGGGACTGAAAAGGGGGTACAAATGGTTCTGATGAACTAATTTAGTTCAGGGGGCTTTTTGGTGTGAACGCAAATATATCTGAGTTCTGATGAACTATTGTGGGAAAAGTACTCCGGTGTGAACGCGCCTATTGTCTCAATAGGCAATTACAAATCAACCCTGATAAATATGTCATGCGGGGTTCCTCAAGGCTCCATCTTAGGACCTTTGCTTTTTAATATTTATATGCTACCTCTGGCTGAAATTATTAAAAAGAGCGATCTAAGCTATCACATCTATGCAGACGACACCCAGATTTATTTTTAAATTACACCGGGAGACTACTCTCCGATTAGAACACTGAGCAAGTGCATTGAGCACATCACTGACTGGATGACTCAGAACTTTCTCCAATTGAGCAAAAAAAAAACTGAGATCATTGTTTTCGGAGCAAAGAAGGACCGATTAAAAGTAATCACAGAGCTTCAGTCGGCAGACTACAAAGTAACTCACAAAGCAAGAAATCTGGGTGTAGTGATGGACTCAGACCTGAATTTTAACAGTCACATTACAACAGTTATTAGATCTGCATACTACCACCTGAAGAATATATCAAGGATTAAAACACTAATGTCGCAACAGGATTTAGAAAAACTTGTCCATGCTTTTATTTTCAGTAGACTCGACTACTGTAATAGTAATTCACAGGGCTCACTAAAAAATCTATCAGAAAGCTGCAGCTGATTCAGAACGATGCTGCTCGAGTACTCACTGACACTAGAAATCTGTTCACAAAAATGTTCAAAAAGAGGTAACCACAAAGCAATATTTAACTGAAAATACTAGGGAAATGTTTACTCAGAATTTGTCTTCCATACTTGCCCCTGCTAACATCTGTACACCCTGCTGTGTGTATTTATTTATTTAATTTCATTATCTTTGCTTTTTATGCCTGTTTTTAAATGCCATTTAATTATGTATTTATGCTGTATTTGTTCTTAAATGTCTTTTGTTTTTATTTTGTAAAGCACTTTGAATGGCCACGTGCTGAAAAGTGCTATAAAATTGCCTTGCCGTTGCGCCTTAGGCAGTTAAACAAAAGCTTCTTGCTAATTTCATACATTCATTAGGATTCTATTCATAGCGATTTTTATCGGATGACAGATTAAGACAACCCATACGAAAAATATTGACCTGCTTTTCAAAGGCCACACGAGACCAATACTAATTTGATAAGTACCATTGATAGGTTATTATACCCATTAGTGTCAAATGTATGACAAATTGTATGTTTACTGAAAATTGGTAATTTACAAGTGACAATTACAGAGTATTAATACTTGTTCCAGAATTATGTAGTTACGTAGAATCAGTTAGTCAGTCATTTGACATCATAAGGCAATGTGCATTCACTATGGACATGTCCACTAATTTTAAAGTTCATGTATGTTATTAGTGTGAAAAAGTGGTTAAAACAATATAATAATCATGCACCATTCCACTGCCGATGCAGCAAGCAATTATTTGAACAGTCAACTTTAAGTTATCCTGTTTCTAGCTTGAGGAAAAATAGCAGACTGAGCTTTCCTGTGCCACTTTAAATTCTTAAAATGCTCGGGCTGATATTCCTTTTTTGCAAATCGCTAGCATTAGTGCTTCATATGGGCTGCCTTTTGCAGGGATTTCAGTTCCTCATCTCATCGGACTTGCTAGTCATGACCTGTGTGCAGACACAGTGAAAGAAATCAACGTGAAGTGGCTGCCAAACTTGCCAAACAACATTGGAGGCTTCAGAGGAAGCAGAAGGGAGCGACTTCTGGCATCGCTTTAATAAGCTGTTATCTTCAAAAACGTGAACACACACACACACACACACACACACACACACACACACACACACACACACACACACACACACACACACACAGTACAAAAGCAGTAACAACAGCAGTAGCAACATTTGTTAAAGCCTCAGTAGGACTGACAGCAGCCATCAAACAAATCACAAACACAAAAAGTGAAGCCCTTCTCCTCCGCTGTGCAACCTCACTCCCCCGCAGCCTCCAAAACATTTTCAAAGCATCTGTATAATTTCTCAAGCGGTAACACATGAACTAAACCTCAAGGCACTTTCAGATCGTTTCCACATAAACAAAGCCATCACGCTGCACATCATGAGTCCCATAACCTCCCCCTTTGCTCCTGCGGGTCGGCCAAATAGTCAAAAAAAAAAAAAAAAAGTAACAGTTGTTCCACAGGCTACATAAAATCTCCAGGACATTCTCAAGTTTAAAACTAATAATTTGAAACAGAAGCAGACCCTCAACAAAAACACAGGTTGTACAATATCTAATTCTGTGCTAAAATTGTCACAAGACACTTTAGGAAAATATATCTGGTACTCACCTCTACTCTTGCAGAATTGCTGCTCTTTGTCCAACTGATGATCCCCTCTGACGTCCAGCATCCATCCCGGAGAAGTAGAGATTGCTCCGTTATCGAGCCGCTGAAATGGAACATGAAATTGAGACCATTTCTTGAAAGAGGATTTCTGACAAAACCAGTGACACTGGTGCTGTAATTGGGCAAGGGCAGCCTCCTCAGAGTCACGTTCCCATACAAGGGTCAAATACATTTCGGGGAAACGTATTTTCTCTTGGATTACATTTTGACGACCACCTAGAACAAATACGATACTAATCAAAGACCGCAGTCGTAGGGGGAGGTCTGGGTGGAGCGGTGGGTCAAAAAAACATGGGACATTCACCAAGGAGACTTCAATAGCTTAACAACAGGGCTACAGGAAGGGCTTGTCTAAGCTTGTATTGCACTGTGACATTATTTCGTTGGTAGCACCTTTTGTCCACATCGTGTCCCCTTACATTTTTAAGTAATTATATATTTCCCTTCTGTTTTCCACTGTTCGCTTCTATCGCTTGCATCTTCACACACTTAACAACTCACAAAGGGTTTTATGGGGGGTTTTGTTTGTATAATTGTCATATTATCTCAATAAGTACAACATTGTGTCTTTAGCAATCTAAGTTTTGTCCAAAAAACAAAACGTTGGGGGTTGTTCCTAATAAATAATTTCCAACTGTAACTCTTGAGAGTCTTAAGTGGTTTGGAATATGCAATTACATCCCCCAAAGCTCCCCCACACCAAATGTATTTCCACACACTCACTCACACTTGATTTATACCCCAGCAGCACAATCAATTAATCCATGAAAAGAGGAAAGAGGAAACCTTTGTAGGCGTTTTCGGGGCCCTGAGGGATTGGACACTGACGGGTATCCTAAATATAAAACAGCGAGGGTGCAGTGGAGCGAGGTATCTACTGTACACTCTAAAAACAAATGCCTTGGCTCAACAAAGAAAATCAACGCAACAGTTTGCATCGATGTTTATTGAGTTAAGACAACTTCTAATTAAATTGTCTTAAAGCAACAAAGTTATGAGTTAGGGGAGAAGGCTTTTCCTCTACAATCAGAGGTGTTTTTAATTTACCACTTACTTAATAATTGGTATTATAAACACAAGTTTTGAAGTTGATTACTCAAAAGATTAAGTTGTTCCGACTAGTTTTACCACATGATTTAAAAGGAATTTTAAGTAGTATGTACTTAATTACCATCATTATGAACACACGTTTTTAAGTTGACAACCATTTATAAATTAAGTTGCTCCAAATATATTGTATTCAATATTTTTTTTTCTTAGCTTTTTCATGTTTTTGCCTTTAAAGAAAGAAACTAATTGATTCCACAACAAAAATATTAGGCAATTCACTTTTTATTTTGAACTGCAGTTGTTTATTTCAACACATGATGTTTCAATCAGGAGAGACTTTATTTAGTTTGAACATTTATTGACACATGCCATATGATAAGGTGCATGAACACCTGAAATCACAGCTGACTGCAGGAGAGAGGAGAACCATTTTAAAGTTTGGCTGCAGCTCGTTGATTGGCTGCTGGAGAATGAGGTGAAATGTAATAGGTTAAAGAGAACGCCTGTGATGAGCTGATTATATGCAGCTGCGGAGTGAATGTATATACACCCAGTCTTCCTGAAAGAACTTGCGCTGAGCTTCATTTAAATTGAAAAAAAAGATAAATAACACAAATTGAAATGGCCCCACAAATAATGAATAAACACATTAGCCATATTACCATGGGAAATGGGGACACAGCAAATAAATGCTGCCATCACAACGAAGTTAGAGGCCTGTGCATATTTAAAACCAGTGCCAAATATGTAAAATCTGTAAAGGTTTTGTAAAACTACAGAAACAAACTCTCAATGGCCACCAGTCTGCAGATCACACACATCCATTTTACAAAAGATGTAACAAAGATGTTTACACTGCCGACAGTCATTATTTCAAACAGTATGAAGACATTTAACGCAGAATGCTCATTCATTTGTTTCCCTCGACCACGATGGTTGCCATCATATGGTCAGATCCTGGGTGGACCGGTCACTGATGAAGGCGATATTCATGTCCTTTTGAAGCACATTCAATAATAGGTTAGCGCATCAGAGATAATGAATTAGGTAATTGCATACTTTTTAAATTGTCACTCTTAGCTAATTCAGAGCCATTATTACCAGCTGCTAAAGCAACGCTGCTATTGTTTTCACCTATTGAGTCTGCATGTGTGTGTCGTCATGGCAATGTGGTCCTGAAGACACACAGAGGTGGTTTTGAGTACATGTGGACAGATTTTGTCAATCCCAACCGTGCAAGTTTTAGTGTATTTTCGCATCTGTTTTGCAGGTTCCATACAATATTTGAAGTGGTTAAGTGAAGAGCAGAAGCCACTTTTCAAATGTTACACAATCCTTTTCCCATGCCATTGCTGTCAACACCTATCCATGCTGAACGTTGCTAAGATATTATTGATTGGGGTGTGGCCAAAAGTGCAATATGCTTCAAAATGTAGCTGACAGAGAGCAGTGCTTTTGTCCTGTGTCACTGGGCCCGTGGATTTTATTTTATTTCAAGATTTTGAATTACGTCGCTAAACTCCTTGAAAAGGTCCTTTTCCTTTTCTCCAAGGTACACGACAAGGCAGCGGATGGCTATAGTTCTCTGCGTACTTCAATTGTATTGTGCTATTTTTGAATAAGGAAAAAAAGAGAAATTACCTAAATGAATATATTCTGACTGCCAACAACTTGCATTTCAATGACAACTCTAAATAACGATCTTACCTCAAGAAGCATGTCCTTGATCTGCTTCACCGAGATTAATTTTGAATAAAAAGCGATATCACAATAGTAACGAAAGTATTTGTACTCTCACAGTAGCCTCTACTACTTTGTATCCTCTCACAGAACTATTCACAGTTCAAAGGCTGCTAAGTTTGGTCAAACAGCAATTTGCCTATACAGTGCAACCACAAGGCTATCTACTGTATCTGAATGACAAAAGATGACACTCACCTTAAAATGTCCTTTGTATATTTCTATTTGTCTTAACTGTCGGAACTTGTCCAGGCATGTTAAGTGGGAGTGGACTTGAAATCCTTAACTCAAGGTGTAGAACAATCAAGCCAATTGCATTACTTACTACAACTTGTTAGTTTAAAGTCAATTAATTCAGAAATCAGAGTTCAAATTACTGACAATATTAAGTTGCTGTAATTACCAACATTATTACGTCAACACAACTTAGAAATTAATGTTTACAATTTAAAATGTTTATCTAAATCAATTAACTCACATTTTTATCTTGCAACCATGCATTTAATTAAGTGGAGGTGAAAGGTCGCCTGAATTCGTTTTTAGAGTGTATCTAAAACTTGAAAGTACTTGAATTTTACTTGAGTTTTTCTATTTTAAGGGCATTTTCTGAAGAACAACTTTTTAACATTACAAATAAAATACTAGAATACTTAGAATGTCTAAAATAAGAAGGATTTTGAATATGCGACTGGTTGAGTATTTCTTCAATGTGGTTTCTGATTGCATGTCTTTCTGTCTGAAACTAGCTGCTAACAGCTGTTTGGTGCTGTTCAGATAGTGTGAAGTGTGTTTTGCAGCTTTCACGAAAAGCAACTGCCAAACGGCTAAATCAAGTGAACCCACAGTAAATTGGTTTTTGAATTGGATCCTGGACTGCTCACAAACCTTTCTGTACCTTGCTACAGTCATGCAACAGTACTTGATGCCTGTCGACAAAACACTCGCTTTGAGGCAATGTATTTAACCCTCTGCCCCTTCCCTCCAGAAAGTGGATGGCTGACATGATTTCAGTCGTACAGACAGAAAAGAAACTCTTGAGAATGAACTCAAAACGATAAAAGATGTGAATTTGTCCCTACTAACCTCTCTTCTCCCACTGCTAAAGCAACTGCAACATAATCAGTTTATATTTGATCTCCACTGTCACTTCGGAAAGAGCAATGAACCTGAAGTCCCCCCACCTTGCATATAAGAAGCTTATTCATGCAGAGGTGGAAGCAAGTAGCATTACTACAAAGAAAAATACTCAATCCTGCATTCAAAATGTCATATTTAACTATTGTATTGCAATTATTAGGCATTATTAGTTCATCACTTGAATGTTGCAATTGATAAATGTGGGGTTCCTTTATTGCTTAGCCTACAAATAATATATAATAATGTATCAGATGATTTATATTTGGTTTTGATAACATTAAACTGCTAAATGGGTAATGCAAATGTGATAGAGTAAAAACAACAACATCTGGAACAATAATTAAATAATAATATTTTTTTAAAACGACCCAATTAAACGTGTGCAAAATGCAATTAATCCTCAAAGTGTCTACATCTCCATAATTTCATCAAATCTGTATCTGATGTTACACGAGAGAAGAGTAATTGTACCGAGTTACATTCTGTATCACGTCTCTGCTGTGACTGAACTGTACAGGGACACAGGAGAGAGAGAGAGAGAGAGAGAGAGAGAGAGAGGAGAAGAGAGGAGAGAGAGAGAGAGAGAGAGAGAGAGAGAGAGAAGTAGAGAGAGAGAGAGAGAGAGAGAGAGAGAGAGAGAGAGAGAGAGTAGAGAGAGGGGAGAGAGAGAGAGAGACAGGGGGTTGCCCTAGCAGCGCAGCTTCATTCCTCCACAGCCGCGCTTCAGTCCGGTGCAGTGCGCGCGTCGCGGCGCTTCATCTCTCTGAACTTCTTCACGGACCTGTTATTCTCCGTTTATTCCACGTTGTTACATTGTTCTATTCACTCAACTGCAGTGTTGGGCTTTTTCCAAGTTTTCACAACGCCCCTCTCGGCTGTTATGAACTAACAAGATACGGGCGACTCCAAGTTGATTCCAGCGCGGCTCCAGTTTGAGGCAGCGGGTATTTATCGTCCCTGTCACCGGAGAGGGATGGCTCTACAGGCGGGGAATGTGAGCGTGCTGCCCGGGGAGGTGTCTGCGGGCTGCGCGGAGCAGGGGAACCTCACCATGGAAGTTACTGACTATAATAACAGCTGCAAGAATGTCTCAGTCCACCCCAGAGCGAGCAGAGGAGTCAAAGGTATTTTTTTTATATACCATGAATAATGCGAGCTGAGGTGTGAACAGAAGGGGTTGAAAAAGGTGTTGTTATGTTAAAACTGTCATCCTTTCTAAATAACCTGCAGTGAAATGTTTAAAACAAGTCCTACAAAAATAAAAACACCCATCTCCTGGTAAAAAAACATGCATTAATTCCAGCTTAAAGATGTTGTTTGCTTCTAATTACAAGCTGCCACCTTTGAGTGATTACCTGCTTAAAAATGCAATCAGTACACCATCATGTAATTTGATCTCAGATGTTGAATTTGTAAGGCAACTAAAAAGCTGCTCTACCTTCTAACCATGACAGATTCTCATTTTTATTTTACCCCCTGCATGATTTATGTGTTGTGATGTTAAATTATTGTTGCAAACATGGAGCTGTTTAAAGTTCCTCCGCCTCATTACAAGAAATCAATCACCAGGCATCCTAATATGCTTCTCTCTGCAATGCTGTGTGTGCAGCTGTGTTTTCATTCAAAATGTGGATTTTGCATGCAATAAAGTGTCTAAATGCTGAGTCCCCGTTAAAGGGATTAAACCCAACACAAGGAGGATAAGGCCTTCCCAGCTTTGTCTCCGGGACACCACTGGGAAATGATTAGGTAATGAGGTCTATACGTGGGCGTGAGTTTTCTTTTTTAATGTTTTCTCCCTGCCGCTGCTGCAGTATCGAGAACAATTTCAAATATTTCCCCCACTAAATTATTCACAGCCGTTCCTCCTTCTGTGCTGCATTACTTTTATTGACCTTATACGGCTGCAACAGTGTATTCTCTAGAGCCATCAACCAATGAGGGGTGTGTGAGGTGTTTGACCAAGAGAAATGACCCCATGACAGAGAGATGCCTCATTCCCTCTGCAACCTTAATCCTCAGTGGACATTTTCCTCTACTGTCTCCGTTCATGCAGCTGGATTCCTCTCCCAGATGTGACGGGCAGGATATTAAACCACTTGTGGAATCACTGCCCGATTCATAGATAGAGAGATTTAGTCCTGCGCAGAATGACATAAAAACAATAGCTTTAACATCAGCTTACTTTAAATGAATAGAAAAATGTCAAGTAAATATATTAATATATGTTTCTATGTTAGATGAGAGTATAAAACACTAAAGAAATTCGGTTTTAAAATCAAAATACGGGACATTTTGTATTGATAATTGTTCATGCACTTTGCTACTGATACATGCCTTTAATATTTGTTTGGATCAAAATAGGTCTAAGTTTGTAAATGAAAATAAGCATTTATACATATTTGTACATTGTGTAAGTGGAATAAGAGTACTGAGCATAAAAAACAATGAGTTTAAATATAATATGATGCAGAGACGTTTCACATTAGAAGTTCTTTTCTATAAAAAGGTTGAAAAATAAGTTGGAAATTGCCAATCAGTTTTGCATAGCCCGAGGTGACATCTTCAATTTGCTTGTTTTGTTCTGCCAACAATGTCAGAATTGACATTTTATAGCAAGAGAAAGGAAGGAAATGTTCCTATTTGAGAAGCTGGAACCAGTTTTTTTTTTGTTGACATTTAGGCTTTTTAAAATAACTGGAACTTAATCAAGCCAGGTTAGTGATGGAGGAACAATGAGAAAGAGCTCTCTTTTTAGGCTGAACTCAAATCATGCATTCTGTTCTCGTCCTTTGCTTGGAGATTAAATACACAATCAGAGGATCAGTTAATAAATCGCTCTCCAGCTGTGAACCCTACGACTAAAGGCCCTGACACACCAAGCAGTCACCAGAGGACTCGCCGACGCCGGCTGTTGCGTCGCGGTGTTCTCCTGCGTCTTGGCCATGTGTCGCACGGGAACACACCGCAAAGACTTCAGTGCGTGAGTGGCAATAACTCTCCTTACCAGCAGGCGGCGGTAGTGTGTATTCGTCATTAAAAATAGGCAACAACCGGAAGACAGAGAATAAGAACAGACTGCGTAATATAAACAACAACAAATAGCGTGTGCAAACTGCAGCCTGGTTATGATCCACTGCTGTCTGCCCGTCTATGGTGCTCCACAACTACCCGAAGGGGCAAGTCTCCTGTACCGGGTGTACTGGGTTCGCAGATAATCCCACTTCTTCCTCAGCTCTTTCTCTGAAGCACACAAATAAACGATGTAAGCATTGTGGCTAGTTAGCATGTCCAATTCATATTATGCAGTGCCAAACTGCACAGCTAGCAACAGCTAGCAACAAGATAACAACAAAACACAAGGTTGAAATAACAAATTACATTTCACGTTAAAGTCACTGTACGCTGGCAAACAATAAAAAGCCAACAATATCTGCTAAAGAGCTCAATTGATGAAAAAGATAATCTTACCCGAGAAACCAAGTTGCGTTTCAATCTCTCGCCAGAGTCCGGTTTTCACTACTCGGTTCGAGTACCTTTTCTCTGTGATGTCGTACAGAGCTGGCCTCTCCTGGATCAATGTGATGAGCAGGTCTTCGTTTGTGTCATTCCAGATCGCCATGATGAGATGAAAATGAATATCAGTCTGTGTGTGCCTTCTTAAATCGTTTGTTTACGTCCCTCACTTCCGTTTCGCTTCTCATGCACTGATTCGCTAGCTGAACAGCCAATCAGAGTGATTGTTTGGTCTGGCAGTCCAAATAAGGCGTGTCACGGTCGACGGTTCGGGACACACCAAATTGAGTTTGGGCGACAGGACACGCTTCGTCTCCCGACTTACGAAAACAGCCGAAATCGGCCTGGTGTGTCAGGGCCTTAAAGGCGACGAACACTTCCTTTATATATCATCTACTCAAGCAACTCTTGTCCCTGACGACATAAGAGGAGGGAGAGTTGAGACTATGACGCACGTTAAAGTGGATAGACACACAGGGATCTGGGGAATGATTATAATTGATTAGTGTACAAAACATTCAATCGATCTACTCTCCTCAAAGGCAGCATTGGCAGAAACGGTCAATTAACGTCGCTGAATATAACTCGAGGAAAACTAAATAAAACTCCTAATTTTTTCCACTGTCGTATTTTGACTGTTTACTAACCCTAGCCATTTTGTGACTTTGACGGTAAACATAAATCATTGTTAATCAGAAAAAAGCCAGAAAAAGCTTTTAACATTTCCTCATTATCAAAGCAACACAGTGGAAGTTGTTTGTACACCCATGGGTGCATTGCTAAGAGAACTTGGTAATAGCTTATTCTGCAAACATTCACAACATTAACAAATTATACTGTAACAAGTAATAGAGGTATCCGCCTCAAGGTTAAACGCCATATGTATTTACATGTTCATGCTCGAGACGCAGGCTTTCTGCAGTGTTTGATGCATTTGAAGGATCAGCTGACGTGAAATGTAACAACATCAGACATGCATGACATTACAGTAATCTTCCGGGGCTCTGGAGAGGAGTTGAGTTGCACCTTGCCTCGGCCCGGACCCCCTTCATTCCCCGCTGATTCAAAGTGGCACTTTGCTGAGCTCGCCCTGTCTTTTTGAGTATGTGTGAGCTATCATGAAGCGGATATCGTAAGCATTAAGTGAGCACCGGTTCATTTCTAGGAGAGAAAACAACCTGTCGCCCCCGCCGATGCAGAGAGAGTTTCTAATATCCAACCAATTTCAGCAAGGGGGTGAAATTATCATCTTGTTCCCTCTGGCTTTCAACACGGTGATGCAGACTGACATAACATGATCGCGGTAATCAGATCAAATAATTGGGAGCAACCTGGTGAGGCGGAACAAACAGAGTGTGCAAAACATTTCCCTCCGAGCAGTAAGGTTTTTGCTTTTTGACGTTCAAAGTGTTGGTCCTCCATTTCAGCAATGGGTGGCTTGATTTCCATTGGAACTGTTTGAATTCAACATTGTTGCCCCTATTTGCCACCTTTGTTGCTTTACGTAGCTGTCAATCAATCAATCAATCAATCAATCAACAGGGGTACTATTTTACGAAAAAAAGCCATCATTTATTTAGAACTAAAAGCCTGTCCTTGGCCAAAACCAACACAATGTTTCAAAACCATTGTTTTTTTAGACCGATTGAAGCACATCTTTAGGAATTCAGTACCACTGCTTGTAATTAGGGACTGTGTGGAATATTCTTGAGACGTCTGCTCACCTTAGTATAGATTTACGAAGACAAATCAATATGCCATTTTGGCTTTTTATCTGCATTTATCTCCTGACTTCTTTCAACGAAAACTGCCCATATTTCCCAGATGATGAGTGTGTCGCCTGTAGAGTAGACAGCCCAAGTAAAGATCCCCTCAAGCGTGCAGAAGTTATATTGAGCCGTAATGCCCTGTGTCTGTCTGCACAGCGGGTTTATTAACTCCACACAGAGGAGGATTGGGCTGCAGTGTTATCAGACAGACTCAAAGCATATGATGGAGGACTCGGTTAATCCCTACAGTAAGTCATGTGACTCACCAAGTGACAAACAATACACCCCTCGTTTTCAGGGCTCTGCACCCTGTTCATTATAAGCTACATTAATCATACTGAACTGTTTATTTTCTGATTTATTACACCTTCTTGAAGTCTGACTTAACGTCTCTATAGACTGGGGCAAAGTCTAATTGGTAATTGAACTGCATTGGGTCCCATTTACAAACACCAACACTTGGCTTTGTTAACATAGTGATTTATGGGAATTAAGTGGCAAACACCTCGACTGAATGTCTAATTCAATTAGGAAATCTCTTAAGGTGCAGCTACAAGTTGCTTTTAATGCAAATGCGGAAACCCCTTTATAATCAATGTTCACAAATGATGGTCAGAATAGTTGATTTCACTTCCTGTAAATGAGCCTTTGGTAATTACAGCAATAAGAAAACATATTCCTCCGTTGTTTACATTACGAAGGCTGGAAGAAGTGATTTTGTGGATGATTTGGCCTTGATTGACCGGTGCCTCCACTTCCTGGTTTCAGATAAAACTCCCTAACAGTGGGTCATACCAACTAACCAAGAACTCCCTAATCATGTTTTGGATTTCCTTGGA